GATAGTCGCTCCGTTTCCAGATAATCTGTACGCTATTAAAAATGAAAAGGCAAAAGTTACCTGCGTAGTCGAAGACACAGTTTTCGATCCAGATGAGATAATATTTGTGAGGAAGAGTCGTTTTGGTGACGTTGAACTCATAAGAGATGAAGGACCTGATGGCCGCATCTATTATCAAAATGAAACCTTGGGTTAGTGATATTAATGAAAGCTGTAACACCACACCGCACTGTGGTTACATCACGCAAGAGTAACTGATACCACATCGCACTGTGGTTATGTCGCGCATCGCTAACACCAACACACCGTGGTATATCACGCATGTAAAAGTAACACCATGCTTCATATGTCTACCTCACACGACATTCACACTGTGGTTACATCACGCAAAACTAATAAAAGTGCGCAACACTGTTGCATCGGAAAATGCAGAGCAAATTTTGGTGGTATTGCCACTCCGCGTGCAACATATTATCATTGGTGCGTTAAGTAGATACTCTTTACTCAATAATATTTTATTGTACACAACAGTGTAGCGTGAATAGTTGCGCGACTTTGTTGCCCTAGTGCCGCACCTTAAGACCAAACTGCGATTTGATGAACCAATACCAAGAGTTTATTCAAACAACAGTTGATAGACAACTATTGAGCAGAGAGAGTATGATTTGTTTCTGATATTTCTAGATGGCGGAAGAAAGCTACGTGTGACTCTGCATTTCAATAAAGTCATAATAAGGGATGATTCAAGAAATGGCGGTTATGAATGCCAAGGACACACAGGAGGTAGTCAACATGAATATGGATTCACTGTCACTGTTATTGAGAGTAAGTACTTCTCAATTCTCATCGAATCACAACCTGGCAAGAACCAAATCATGACGGATCGTTACATTTCTACCCACAGGAAGCGAGTTTCCTAAAGTTCACGCCTCTGGTAATGTAACAGCAAAGTTTGGGGAGCGAATTCAACTCAGCTGTAATGTCACCTTTACTAACAAAGGCCCGTTAATGACAACCATCGGCAAGTTTACCTGGGCAAAAGATGGAAGGGTTGTAATTGCAAGTTATTGTCACCATTTCTCATCAATTAAACCTTTGGGTTTTGAACGTAAGCCTAGCTGATGTGGGTGGTACATATTCTTGTTACTTGGAGTACCTGCTGAGAGGAATTAGAAAGAGAAACATCACGAAAACTATTATCGTAAAAGGTCAGTTCAATTACTCATATGGGTACTGATACATTGCTGTAGAAAACATCGGTAAAAAAAACTTACAGCAACATGATCGTTACTGGAGTTATTTCTGTAGTTCAGCCTAGATTTTTCCCTGAAAAGAAAGAAGAAAAGAATATGCAGCGGCTTGTGTGCACTGCTCAGGGAAATCCACTGGTGACCGAATGGAAAAGAAAAA